ACTTACGTTATAATAGTATGCTATACGTAAGTTATTACGTACACACACACACACACACACACACACACACACACACACACACACACACACACACACACACACACACACACACAGCTAGTTTAAGAGTGACACAAAGCACAGTGTTTTGTATCAGATCTCATGTGAGATAAAAGGGTTCTGACTTCTAAGAGATGTATGGAGGTATAAAAAGGAACAGACGATATAGTATGCTCTTGACTTTCTCACACACACACTGAAGTCAAAGAAGTTCCGATTTTTTACTTCAGTAGAAGAAGCAATACCACAAGGTAAAAACACCCAATTAGAAGTATAAGTACAGCTTTCTGAGTCACAAAAAGAACCGTTTATATAATGATCTAATATAGGCTACATTAAATAATAATGCATAGCGGTCTCTTTAAGACTATAAAATCATTATACATATGTTATATAACCGCATTATTATTCATTCATTAACAAGCCAGTAGGATTTGTACACTGGTTGTGTTAAGTTCCACATTTTAAGGGGAATTTCACTGCGAATAAAGCAAAAACTGAATTTGTCGCAATAGTATTGTCTTTTGTTAGCAGTAGAAACAATGAATACCTCAAGATATAACAATTACAATAAATAAATAATATATTGGTTGGTGTAATTTGGCTGCTTGTTTTTTTTATTTTTCTACAACTACTAAATCTAACACTTAAGCTAATCAACCTATTAGCTGCTCTCCAGCACTGTATTCACGTACACACAGTGTGTTATCCTAATGGCAAAAAAAGCTTTTAATTTTAAATTCTTAAAGACCAGCCTAGTTAAGCTCTAAAGGATTCCACAGAGAGAGACAGTGTGTGTGTGTGTGTGTGTGTGTGTGTGTGTGTGTGTGTGTGTGTGTGTGTGTGTGTGTGTGTGTGTGTGTGCGCGTGCGCGTGCGTGATACACAGTTTACACAATAGCAGTATATGCAGAAGTTTGAACATGTTTTTGGAAGCTCACAGGAGGAAAGTTTGACTTGTTCAACACAGCAAAGGGCACAAGTATGCGTTCTTTGTGTTTGTGAGCTGAGGCCCTGCTAGCTGAAGCTGTCATCCATTTGCTTCTGTCTTCCGCAGCTATGAAAGGAAAAGCAGCTCGTGTCCTCCTCTTTCCCTCCACTTTTACATCTCTCATTTCCCCACGGTACGGAGCAGAGTTGGGAGATAAACAGGAATAAATTATCTGCTCTACAAGCAGAGCCTTCTCTCCAGAAAGAGGTGGAGGCAGAAGGAGAAGAGAGGGAAAGATAGAGCGGAGGAGAGATGGAGCTGGACAGGTGGAGCTCTGCAAACAAGAACTCATCTGACAGCTGGAAGAGGCTCATATGGCTAACCATCAGCACTAATTTGAAATGGGCGATTGAAATCTTCTTTTATGCAAACCGTGTTGTTATCATACATGGAAAGAGACAGGTGTTCAGAATATATGCACGTCAAAAGGTCACCACATTGATACATACAGCGTGGACAGGCAGTGGACAAATATAATCACAGTCGGAGAGGAAAAGCAGGACAAACAGCTATAAAAAGGAAAGTGAAAGATAACAGAGGAAGAGCGAGAGCAGTGTGTTAGCTGCTGACGGACCCAGAATGAGATGTGACTTCAGTAAATTGAGCTGCTGTGAAATCGTGGACGGTGTTTAATGTCTGCTGGGCTGATCAGATGACAACAGATACTGCTAACCTGATAGCTCTGCCAGAACATCTAGGTCAAACAGATCACCTGGGCACCGGTCTCCCACCAGGGGGAAATTAACTTTAAAATGGGTCGCCACAATTAAGACACAATGTCGCTATTTTTTACCATAACACAATGTACTTAACACAATTGAAAATTAAAGACAATTAAACACAATAATTAAGGTTAGCCATACGGTGAGTAATTTAGAAGCTAATAAATAAGTCCATTAATGGATTCGGAGAAAATAAAAAAAACAGCAATTAAAGGATTTTCTTTCACACAAATTGACAAATATACACTTGCTATTAATGATCAGGTGTGAGCATTCTCTGGTGCTTAAGGCTTATATTATACTAATGAAACTTGAATTTTTTATAACTTTGAGACTGACATTTCAGGATAGCACCTGTGACAGTTTTTCACATTTTTGATAATCAAATAATTGTGAAAATAATAATAAGTTGCTACCCTGTATTTATTCTTTGCTGATTTATTTGTGCCAATTTTATTTGACACTCATAACAAATCTCATAAAACTATGTAAGCACGTAAATAGTATAACAATTTCAGCAGCAACCACTTAACTCCACATTTTCTGTCACTGTGAATATGATCTGTAAAAGGATTAGTCCATACAGCCATTTTAATTTAAGACATCCTTTTTTTATATATCCTGGATCTACACCAAAAACCCATTACTTGTTTATTTGGCCAGTGTCCTAACTTCCTGCCAAATGTCATTGTTTGTTTATTAGTCAGCAGGATATCTCAAACACAGATGTCAAATAAACAGGAACAAAAATAACTGCAGTGGCTGAGAGATTTTATGAAGCACCGGCTTCATTTTAAGACGAGAGAGCCTGCCAAAGACAAAAACAGTCATCAGTAATTTTGAAGGATGCCTGAACACAAATATTTGTAAGGGAAAACAAACATTTGCACTGTAAAACCTTATTAAGGAAACTAAAGAGATTCTTTCTTTTCACTTCACTTTCCTGTTTGCTTTAGATACACCTGACCTAATCATGACCGTTACCATGGCCACAACCTTTGATCACATCGCAGTTTTTGGCCGAGACAGGTCCATCCATTACCCAGCAGTCTACCCCAGGGTCCATATTGCGAGCCATCTGTTAAGTGTAGGTCTGCGAAGGCTGTGAGTGCTTAAGTAAACTCCCAGATATCAGTCCCAAATGTCAGAGACAGACAGATAATTTGTCATGGCTCTCCTCACGCACACCTAAAATGATGCGGCATGGACACATTGATAACTGCCTTGGTTGAGGCGTAAAGATCTTGTGAAAAGGTTAACTCTCTGTGCCATATGTTTTGTACCCTAAGGAAAACGGATTAGTGTGTGTGTTCACAACTGCCGATAGGACAGTTACCTGCAGTGGGAGGACGCCACAGGTGACGGATACTTATGGGCTGTGAAATGGCTAAAAGCCGTCTTTTTTTCGAGTGCAGTCATTGTTGATATCATTTTTCATCCTGACCCTTAGGGGCCATAACAATATTTCCAAGACCCAACAGAGAAAGAAAAAGGAAGAGAGCAAACAGTAATTGTGGCCCAAAAAAAATCCCTGGCCGCAGTCCAACGCGAGCTGGCAGCCATCCACTAAATCAGAGCCATCGCTTGGAAGGTGCCCCGTTAAACAGATTTTAGAGGAGGGTTTCATCCATAACACATCTCCGTGCTGTTTTGTGCCTAGCTCAGGTGTAATTGATTCCCTCCAAGTCATTTCTCTGCAGTGTTTGGTTCATTATACAGCACATTTTGTTGTTCAGCTTTGCGATGCTTTTGGTGATTTGAAATCCTATTAAACCCTGCGGTGAATCTCACTGAGCCATTTGTCTTGCTACTGTTTCATTGATGTGATAGGTGGCCTCACGTTCTGTAGCGGTGAATCAGTGTCATGTCTCTGGAGTGTGACACCCTACAGAGGACGCAATGAGATGAAACTTATCATGATAGATACTGTATACCAATGATATTGCAGCTCCTACTAAGAGGGTAAACATAAAAAGAAAACAAAGTATTGTTCCTAGAAGAATGGAGAGGGAGGTTCATTGTTATTTTGTTGCCCCAAGGCCACCGAGGCTTTCTCATAAATTATAAGCAGAGAATAGAGAATCATTTGCATAGTGTTTATCGCAATTATGAATACACTGCTCCTTCTGGCATGTTCCTGAGGTTTCCACTGGGCAGCTTTAAAATTCTCTCTTGTTTTGTTTTAAACAGAGTTTCTATTTTCTCACCTGCATCGTGCAGCACCAACACTGTCTGGTGACTACATTCCACCCACAACCACTGCAGAGCTTTTTACACAGATGCAATTACACTTTAGGTGTTCTGTTTATCACAGCGGTGATTATTATTATTTTTACACATCAGTAGGTTACTAGAAATCATACTAGGAAAGGGTGTGGGAGCTTAGACTGGTCTCAGCTCAGAAAATGGGCTACATTTACCAGTTCATTGTAAAATGCCCCATTCAGGTCTCACCCACTGTACATGGATGACACTGAATCTGGGTAGCGACTCTATCCTTCTCATAATCGGATTCAATTGCTTTCGAGCAAGCCCGACCAAACCTGGTGTAATAGCATTATGTATGCCGCCCGTATACTCATTTGGCTTATAAAAAGTGAAATCACAAACATAAAAGCTTAAACATTTCCTCTGCTGCTTAAATAGGGCTAATCACTCTTCCTTGCAATGCAAAACAATACTGCACCTGTACTTCCATATCTTTTCGCTTTACTTACTTAACTTTGCATTGGACATTTAGCTTTGCATAGAATATATGTTAACATGAAATGCATATTTGAAGCCGTTTCATGATTTTCTAGTTATGATTCAGCAGGAGACACGGTTTCCAACTAACTCAAAGAGAAAGCAATAATTATCTAGCTGATAAAAATCTGCTAGATACAGCTGTCATTTGATCTGGCGAATCAGTGATCTTTGCTATGAAAAACGTGCTTTTGTCCACTTCTATGTGAAATCACCCATTCTTCCGATTACTAAGAGATACGTTCAATTTTGCAATGCTGCCATTGTAAACTGCGTCCATGTTGTGCTTGACGTGTAGAAACCGTAACTAAAAATTGCAAAAGTGCAAGTTAATTTGCAGACACAAGGTTGACAGAGGGCGCGAGTGATCAGTGAGGAATTTTGGCTGACAGCAGGCAGATATCAGAGCTGGCAGGACGGAGGAGCACAGAGAATATGGATAAAGCAACAACAAAATGGTTTCGCCTCGCCATCAATTTCATTCCCCCTGAGGATGGCTGAGTGGAAAAGACTGAGAAAATAAGATTCTGCCAACTCCGGGAGACACTGTATCATCTATTCTATACAGAAGAGCATAAACAAAGCTGAACAAACTGTCTTTAGCACAAGTTGTGATTCTTCTGTTCCTCCCTCCATCTGTCTGCACGGAGACACTTTTCTCTTTTCTGGAGCAGCAGAAATGCTTCCCTCCCTCCTTTCTACTACTGTCTCTGGCAAAGTGATCTATTCAGGTTTGAAGACATTAAGCTCATTTCACACAATTCTAGGCTAAGGATAAGAGGAGCATCAGTTAAATGCCTAATGTGGAGAAATGTCTATCTGTATCTATTGATTTTGAGAAAAAGAGAATTATGGTGGTTATGGGGTAGATTGATTTTTATATTAAGCATTAGTTTCAAAGTGGATTAGCTTTATAATTGTGTGTAAACTTTTTCAACCCACTTTTAATACGTGTATACGAGATCTGCCTTTCTTTTAAATTGTGTGATCCTTTTATGATTCACAATATAAAGAGGTTTGAGCCTTTAAAGTATCATCGTACACTAATCTTTCTCCAAAATAATTAAAAGTTAATAAAAACAGCATTTTATTTTTCTTGGCTTAAGAGCGACACAGTTATCCTTTTATGAAATGGGCTTGAAAAAGGGTTTATATCCCCCAAGGATGTAGATCCACTCAGAGAGGAGCATGTAATCCCTCAATCAGAATTAAAAAATGATTAACATCACATTTAGAGCAACAGGGATTTTACTTGATAGCGATGCTAAGCCTTCGATGCTGTGTCTGTTTACTGGTTTTGGAATAAAATATCTGATAATAACTCCTTGTCTCTCCCACCTGATCGGAGCTGTTTGATGCGACCCTGGCTGCTGAAGGGGTCCACGGGCAGGAAGTCTTTGAACCAGGAGATCTCCGGGTCGGGGATGCCGCTGGCAGCGCACAGCATGGTGGCCGTCCGCGTCCGCTCCACCACCTTCAGCTGGGGACCCATGTCTATACTGGGGAAGCCGAATGGCAACAGGTCCTCTGGAAGAATGAAGAGAAGGAAAGAATATATTCAGCATGAGGAGTCAAAACACTGAGTAAGGCTGAGGCTAGATATTTGCAGATACTGTATTTCCTCATAAGAGTTGGACAAATAACATGTTAGACCTGATGATAGGGCTAACAAGGTTGAACTTGTACTCCACTACAGTTCACAGGTAAATGGTGTACCTTTACTCCACTACATTTATTTAATTCCTTTAGTTACTTTGCAGATTTGGATTAATGATGTGAATATAATCAACTCTTAAATCAAACTTTAGTTACACCTGGAGTAAATTCACAAGCTACCCTGCAGTATACAAAGTCATTCAAATTAGCTGCACCTTTACCAGCTTTGATAACACTTTAATGCCTCAATAATTATAATCAAAACATATCATATACGTATATTATTCTGAAATAGGCCAATCTTTTACTTTCGGTACTCAAAGCATATTTTGATGCTGATACTTTTCTACTTTTACTTGAGTAACATTTTTAATGCAGGACTTTTACTTGTAACAGAGTATTCCTACAGTACACTCGGGTACTTCTACTTTTACTCAAGTACAAGATCTGAGTACTTCTCCCACCTCTGAGTATAATATTAATGTTGTGCTAGGTCTCATAGCAATCCATCCTGTAGTGGTTTCACTCATTTCACTCAAACCACAACTGAAAACCTCATGTCTTTGCTGAAGGAAAAGTTTCAGATATACCAAAGTCATTTGTATGCATCAATGGAGGACCCTGAGTTTTCTGTTCAAAAGTTCAAAGTGCAAAAGTTCAAATTCAGTCCAGATCAAAGTGACGGACTGACTCACTGTCGGAAAGACAATGCCACACCTAGAGCCTCGCGGTGAGCTGAAGAGAGGAAGTGATGAAGAGGGACAGAGACAGGATCGTGGTCTGAGACAGATGGGCTTAGACAATGTGAGGATTGCTCATGCTTTATATCAGATCAAATCTACTAGGACAATAATGAAAACATATTTTTACCCCTGATTTTTTGGGACAGTTTATCTGCTTGCACAGAGACCGAGCCAACCCTGTCATGGTCCAAAACCTTCCTTTCTTTCTTCCTGTGGCGAAACTTAAGCCTTGCTCACAAACACACAGTGATATGAGAGCCACTGCTCTACCACCCCCCCCCCCCCCCTTTAACTGCAGACCCTTGAAAGTGGAGATACTGGGGAGGAGAGCGGATCCACCCTATCCTTCCTCATCAAAGCTGGGGGATTCTTCCTACAGCCAGTCATTACGTGATCTTGTAGGCGGCCCAGGCACAGCTAGGTTTTTAGCGTGTGTTTGAGTGTGTGACAGGCTGTTTTCTACAGTATAAACATACCGCTCAGTCAGCAGGAGCTTCTTAAGTGCTGCATACACACATATGTACAGCAAGCCACACACATACATACACTCCTAACCTAGAAACACAGGTGCTTGGTGGCAGTGGCAGTGAACTGTGAGTTTTTTTCCATGGTGGGGGCTGTGGTTGTAATGATTCCTGTCTAATAACTATGCAGAGAGCTGCTCAGAAACAGCAGCAGCAATTAGAAGCTGGGATCAAGAGGAGGGGCAGGGCACTGGGGGTAATAAGGACTTGTTAGCAGTAATTGTTAAAATGTACCCACGATTAGAGAGGCCGATCTGGGATGTGTCTGTATAGCGTCTGGATATGTCTGATTATGTTGGGGCGAAGCAGATAAGTGTGTGTGTGTGTTGCCTGTGAGTACATATTTGTTTCTATGGCCATGTTCTATTTAGCATTTTCACAGATTTATGCGGAAAAAATGTACAGAGACAGGTCAACACATGTCCAGGGAAATCGAGGTGTGTGCATGCAGAAAAACAGTTGCTTTCTTTTTCACATACACACAGACACATTCACACACACACGCTCTGCTGTGAATGGGATTAAGCCTCTCGGTGACAACAGTCCAGATGGCCAGACACGTAATCAAGCATCCATCAGCACGGCTGCTTCCTCCTCTCCTTACCCTTTTAACCACTTGATCCCTCTCGCTCATACACCTCCCCCATACCTGGAACTATAATTAAATATTTCCTACAGTAGAAAAGCAATTATCAAGATGCCATTTTGCTTGGATAATAAATCAAACTTACACCTGATTGTCAAGCATGAAGAAGGAACACTAAACGTTTCCTCGCTCTGAATGTGCATCACTGACAAATCTGACTCCAAACAGAGTCCAGGACGCAGACCATGGCCACATCAACGGCTCCTCTCCTCCTCCGGGCCCCCGCTATCTAACCACATGACAGACGTGTACCATCTGTTTCCACACACACTCTGCGATGGGGATGAGAGGCTGAGTGGAGATACGATCTATCGCTCTCTTCCTTTCTTTCCACAGTCATCAGCTTTGGAGAGACCCATCCGATAGGAATGTCAAGCCGCTGCTGATGGTGCGGCTGAGAGGACGATGGAGGGGGGGAAATGCCACAAAAGGCAAAAGAGCAATCAGAGGAGCGTCTGGTGAGGGGGCTGAGTCTCTGGTTAGAGCTCAGGTGGTGATCAGGCCTCATAGCAACCATCTGATATCAGCCAATTGAGACCCAACAGGAATTAAGGGACCCCTTTCACCCCTCTACTACCCCGGACTAATCAATGCTACTGATCCACCTGAATGGAGGCCAGTGGTACGGTCATTGACGAAACAGGCAGGAAAAGAAAGGAAAAAGAAGGGGAAGATCGATGGGGGGGTCGGAGGCGGGCTCCCCTGAGGCAAGGAATATGCCAGGCCTACATCTGCTCCCCTCTGCCCCCTCCCCAACCCCACCCCTCTCCTGAGAGGGTTCAGATGGTCTTTTTAACACCCCGTCGGCTACTACTACATGGACTCCCTGGCTGTTAATTAGAGCGCGCCGCTGCAGCGGGCTTGGGGTGTGTGTGCATGGATGTGTGTGTGTGCCGTGCGTGTGCTTGTAAGGGGGGTGGGGTCTGGCTCTGTATTCCAGTGAGGTCTTTATCGATGCTGCAACCAGAGGGTGGGTGGACCTTGGAATTAAACATCAGAAAGAGGTAGGGGTAACAGGAAGAGAGATGGATGGATAAATATATTCTTAGATTCTGCCATACAGTACACCAATGCCATACAAATGTGTTGTATAAATAATTTAAAAAATATTTTAACTACCTGTATTTCTTGCTACAATTAATAAATAATACATGTTCTAATTACTTTGTCTAAAAACATGCCCATGTATGCCCTTTTACAAAATATATAATTTGATGTCATTCTAAAGGGTTAAAAACCCAAAGTGTATTATGTCTGTTGATTGTGTATATAGGATATACATATTTACATATCTGTATATTGTATAATTTTATATTCGGGATTGTTGGAAATGTCATTTCGATCTCTCTGTCTGTAAACACAAACCGAGTAAGACTAACATTAAAGCTGACTTTGACTCGATAAGCCGCATTTTAAAAACAGTATATAATTTACATATATGGAAATAAGTAAGTACAATTGCCTACAATTTGCACAATCACCAGTTGAATATTTATGGCTGATTTAAACTGATTATTTTACTGCTTGTTTGAATACATGTCGTTTCAAAAACATTTATGAATTGCTTCAGTGTCATGCACAACAGTCCATTCAATTGTCAATATCTGTAAGGCATACATGCTAGGAATATCATTACATTAATATCAATTTTTTTGTATGGAGTATGGATTTTATGAAACATGTTTATAGAGCTTGACCACAACAGAATCATTCTGAGCATGGAGGAAGCTGTCAAGGTAAGTAATGCACAGTGGTAAGTGCCTTCCTAAAGAAGAAGGTTAAAGGTCCATGATGGTGTGGTGACAGAAAGACAGCAGCATAAGGGAAAAGGCAGTAGAGTACAAAGGCATAGAGCTTTCTCAGTGTGGACCATGCAATTACTCTACAATTGCAGAGGCTGCTCACCGAGTGCAGCCTAAAGTATTTCATGCTACTGTGTCTTCAACTATCCAAATACTCAACAGGAAATACCGGAAAGTCCTTGTTCATGTTTCGATGGAATACCATTATTCCAGTTGTTGCAATTAAAGAGTTAACGTAGACATAAAGTAAAGATGCGAACATTTCTAAAAGTTCAATGCACGTCTGAAACTCATGATATAAGAGATGCATGAGGCACACAATACAGCAGAGTAAATTAATAAGTATCTATCTGTGAATTTCAACTTGTAGGACTTAACTATGTCCTTGTACAGGTTGCAGAAGAGAGCAAGAGGTCTGCAACATGATGGGAGCAAATAATGCTATTACACTAAGAGTTTCAGAGAGCAACCTTAGAGGATAATGCAATCTCTCAAAATGATAATTATGTCAGCATCTTTACATCAGTGTTGAATAGAAACCAGATGACTATGTAACCGCTCTTTAAAAAGGTACAGTTTGTGAGAAACTGTGACTGAGTGATGGTGCTGTGTTTCTACACTGTACAGGTAAAGAGAAGTGTGCACATACTTTAATTCAAGTGTAGGGTCTTCCTTAATTATATATTTAATTTATATATAATTTTGTTTTAGTATAAGCCCTGTTTTTCTGCATCAATGCTGGCTTTACATAAAATAAATAAAAATAAGTTTTGGATTTAGTTTCTAATATATTTAAAATAATTATTGGCATATGAGCTTTAAATATCCTCTCATGAACTCCACATTAAGTGTCCTTTTACTGTTAATGAAGAATGCAAGAATTAGCTAAATTACAAGTGATAACATAGTATGTGAGGGATAATGTGCAGCGAGCCGGTCATCATTGGGAAATGAACCCCAACAGGGCGAGCAGGACCCAAACGCAGAGCTGAGGAGTGTTGAATCCCCCTGAAGGGCTTCATCTCCTCTTTTGCTTTCCTTTCCCGTCGGCAGTCCAGCCATCATGTATCCAAATTGTTTGTGAACTCTAAATATATATCAATGAATATTTAAACTGATGCTGTTTGCAATCGGAGGAAAAGTAATGTGTTTTCTTGACACAGCTTACCTTGTTACATTTGTTGTATTTCTTTCTGATTGATATGATTAGACTCGATCCTAGAGACTATGTTTATAGCGTCTTGCAGCATTTTGTTAAAAATAAATAACAGATGATAGAATGTTTACAGCAACGAGTATTTAACTATTTAGCGTCATAACGTTCACTAAGAGATAGCCGCAGACACACACTCTGTTCTGCAGACAGACATCGCCCTGCAGACAGTTAGTTGCACCGGGCATTTAAGTACAGTTCACTGGAGAGGAGAGCAGGGGGCTTCAGGTATTCAGCCAGGCTACTGGATGAGTCAGCGGCAGCTTGAAATAGATACTGCAGGCATGGCCTTGATCACACTTTTCCCCAAATGAATCATTTATCAAACACAAACACTGCCGCACAAAAGTACCGCTTATGCCTCATCTCCTGTTTAAATTGATAAGACAGCCTATGGAAAAATGCGCCATGTGTGTATAAACACTGTGTGTGTCAACAGCTTTCGGCGGAACATTGGCAAGGACCAACCAGCATTGTTCCCTGGAGCTTTGTGTTTGTGTGTTTGTGTGTGTCAAGAGGTTGAGAGCTTTCATTTTGGCCTGGTTATGTTTGCAGAAGGGCGATCAGGCCTGGTGCCCAAAACTAGTCGGTGGAGCCAACCAAATCTGGGCAAATATGCAATTCATGCATCCGCGTGCACGCACACACAAACACACAAATACTAGGACATTCAGACACACAGTCAAACACATAATGCATATGATGCAAACAAACAAACACGATTCCAGGTTTTCCTTTCCTGTCTCTCTTTGTATTTCCCTCATTCAGCCGAAGACAGATACGCCCACGCGCAAACACTCGCTCCGCCACAGAAAATCATCATTTGTCCTGGTTAAGAAACAGGTTGCCTTTTCATCTTTCAGTTCATTTCAGCGGGGAATGGCCACGTGGATGAAAGAAGCCTAAATAAAAGGCGATCTCAGGATGCCTGATTCAGGATGAATCTGCCAGAGCTCGGCAGTCCCCAGAGGCTGTAATGCTTTGACTCCTATAGACTGCAGGGTGGCTGAAGGGGAGCACTTTAAATGCTAATGCGCCTTTATGATAATAGATCACAACACAATGCAGAATCGGACTTAGCATCGTCGATGAATCCCACCAATAACCAGCGTGTCCCCACCATTCCCTACTCTCCTCATACATATCCATCAGCCGCAGACTACACACACAAAACGAGGCCCCACGCTTAACACTCTATTACAGACAAACATGCATGATATTACACTGCAAGAAAAGGATGAAGGGAATACAAACTAAGCAGGGGTATACTGTATATGATGAAAGCGCCAGTTCTCTACTCAAGGAGAGTAATCCTCTTGCAGGCTGAGTTGAAACTCTCAGCTGCTTCCATACCAAAATGCTGCTTGAGTTTACGGCCTGCCAATGCAGCCTGGGGGGAATCACTGATCTGACTCTGTTGTTCATATGAAGGGTGTTTGCCGTGGTGGCAGAACATCTCTCCTCCCCCTTCTCTCTCTCACCCCCTTCCTCCCCCATCCCTCGCCTCCCTTTCTCCTAAAATGGGACACTGGAAGTGAGTATAATCAGGATTACCCTACACAAACCAGTCACACACACACACACACACACACACACACACACACACACACACACACACACACACACACACGCTCATAAACAAAGAAATCCATGTGCATGCATCCAGACACATACAGAGCTGCAGTGATGAGAATCTCTCGCCCACCAGAGGTTTTCAAACATGCAGAACTGCAGATATTCGCATCTCCTGAAGGCGAAACAACACAACTGCAGTGTATAGAAAAGAGCAGCTCTGGTGGAAAAGGGGATGGAGCAGATTCAGAGGGTGAGAGGGTGGAGGGGGGAGCAGCAGAGAGCCTGTACAAATGCAAAGGGGGTCGGAGAGAGAGAGAGTCTGGATAGACAGTGAGGGACAGGCAGAATGGATGGCAGAGAAAATGAAAGAATGAATAAAACAAGAGAGATGAAATTAGAAACGGACATCGCTGTCGGCCAAAGAGGAGGCTGCTAGAGTCAAAGACAGAGACATATAGTCAGGGGAAAGAGGAAGGGAAAGAAGAGTAGGTAATTGGATGAGAAGGGTGATGGGAGATGATGAGGGCACAAAAATTCTCCCCGACCATAACCTACCACATCTCTGTCCATTAGGCAGTCTACAGAGCAGCAGCTCATATCCTGTGGCCAACCACAGGGCCCTTACATTGTACAACACTGCTATTAGTGTTGGTCTACCATTATATAAAATGATGAGATGAAACACATCAGGGGATGAAAAGACGTTTCAAGGCTTCGGTCAGTAATGGAAAGCCCCCTCTCTGCTTTAGTGGTTGGTGGACCTTTTATCCAATGAACCGTGTTTTGAAAATACTTTTCTGCACTTAACAGCATTTTTGGCTTACGTGATCTATCATACAGTGAAGCCCTGCGCCAATAGTGAATTGCAGGAGTGTAGGGCTTTTGGAGCATACTGTCAAATAGGCAGAAGCATTGAGTTATATTTTTTCAGGTACAGAGTTGTGTGAGGGAGGATTTCTCGAAGGAAATGTCCCAATCTTTTTCTTCACATGTTTCTGGTGGCTGGCATTTGGAGCACTTAAAGGATTGAACATGCTTGAAATCATCAGCACAAGAGATCAACATGTGCTTTGCTGAGGAAAAGTTAAAAGCACAAGCCTTTTAACAAGAAAAATGTAAGTGGACTGTATTCATATAGTGCCTTTTTTCCTTACCAGACAAAGGCGCTAACAGTAGACTAGAGCAGGCATGTGTTAAGGTAAAGCTTTTTAGAGACATAGATACATTCAGCAGTCTAAACGTTCGGATTCTGAATCAATCTCTGATGCATTTGATAAGCTGTTTTGTTCCCATTGTAAGAAGGCTAATACTATAGAACTCTCAATTGATCAAGGACAGTGCTGCCTGTGTCTCTATGGCAACACATTTTGATCACTAAAATGACACTTCGGTTGTAATCTGGGGTAATCTGAACATAATCCTCACAGCATCAATATAAATGATGATACCGTTTTTTTCTGTCATATACAATGACCACAAAGTAATATCAGCTTTTGGTGAAATTTGGTGAATTAAATCGATATACAAATCATAAAACAGCCCAGCTCCTTGATTTGCAACATTGCCCACAAAAACCCACTCACACCAAAGATACCTAACACCATATGTCAAACTCTGTTGGTTGACTTTTTGATTTATATTTATTTTTTATCAAACTAGTTTATATAATATCGCACACCACACACTGTTGCTATCTGTGTGCTATTGGTCTGTATTGCAACATGTAAAAAGTATTACATTATGGCTACTAACTCCCAATCTGGGTGTTGCTTTGGGTCAAATATTGTTTCATCCATCACTGTCTTATATTCTATTTCTCAGTTGATTCGGAATTGTCACAGAGGCAACAGGGGACGTCACGGTACACAGATCTCAGTAAGAGAAAAGTTTACACAAACAGGAGGAGGCCCACACGGCCACACACACTGAGAGGCTTGCCCTCGAGGTGTACTTTGTGTGGTAATGTGCTTTAGATTGGGGCTGTGTGTGGAGAGATGACGGCGAGGTAACAGATGGACAGGAGTCTATTCCCTGGGCTACAAGCCTTCTGCTTACCACACAGCTCTGCCAACTCCACAATCCTCATCCATCTCATGCACTTCTACACTGCCTCCACCACCACTCCTCCGACATCCCGTTTCATCTCTATTGTTTCACACCATCCTGTTGTGTTATTTAACTCGCCACCACCTCCTTATCCTCCATCGTACTTTTTCTCACCTCTTTTCAACCTCTTCCTCCCTCTTTATTTCCCTTCCTCAATTTCCCCTGCAGTAATGGGTGATGTGCCAAACTGAGGCCTAATTCCCTGATTTTCCTTCATGTAGTAACAGCCCAAGCCGTCATCCTTCTATTTCTGCTTCCTTTCCAGCTGTGCTGGTCAGAAGCCAAGTGCTCAGATCCTGGGCTTGCAGCCACATGCTGCAACTTTACTTCATGGCATGTTATAGCACCACATTAGAAACGTTTTTATCCAAGAGCACATTAGATTAACACCCTTACTCTGCCCAGGAAGTGCAGTGATTACAGAAAAAAAGAGATGCTGAAGTGCCCGTCAGCTAGCACGCTAGCTAGCCCTCTCTGTGGCCAGATCACGCTCTGTCGCACTCAGAGGGACTATAAAAAGAACAGTGCACTGGAGCCTGCTGTGAAGGCAGGGTGTGGCATGGCTCCATTGTCCCATCTACAGCTGACAGCCCAGGGAACCAAAGAGAACGGATGAAACCAGGTTTGTGAACGTGGAAATAAAAGTGCCACTCGAGTGGAAAATAATGGAGAGGTGTGTGTGTGTGTGTGTGTGTGTGTGTGTGTGTGTGTGTGTGTGTGTGTGTGTGTGTGTGTGTGTGTGTGTGTGTGTCTCACCTCTAATAATGGCCAGCTTTGCAGTGACAGACACCTCCCCTTCACTGTTGCGTGCCACACACTCGTAGATGTTCTCGTCTCGGGGTGCTCTGAGAGGCTGGATCCTTAGCACAGCACCGGCTCCCTCATCAAACTCTACAGTCTGACAGCCAGAGAAGCACAGGAAGAAGGCATTAGTAAACAGATGGATTATTATAATAACTAGAATTTTTAGTATAATGTATCATCAATTTAGCATAGTACCCCGTTACCAAAATAATGTGATATTAATCATTATAGTGTAATATTCTATTGATTGCCTTAAGGAAATTATTTTCTTTTTTTTCCTTTTTTACTTGCCCTCCCCTTCATGAGGTCAAGCACAGCTAGCGTTGCTGGAGCTGCCGGAGATTCAGTGGCCGTTTCTCAATCGCGAGGAAACTGGCTTCCAAGCCAATATTTCAAGGATACTACGTCATCGAGTGCCGCCGAAGGACTGTTCCAATCTCCAGCATACTTGGAATTCCACCAAAGCCACGTCCTTGGTTTGGGGGTAATTTCGAGACTGCACATGGGTAGACTTCGCGTCCTTCAAATCCCCACAATGCTTTGCGCACGGACCAATTTCAAAAACCCTTGCGGAGAATGGCTGAACCGACGCAGCACACATTTACATGTAAGTATGTAGTGGCGTAGAACATGTGTTGGTAAATATGTTACTTTGTTGCATTTGTTATCACAAAAATGTGTTCCGTGAAAGTAAAGCAAGTTCATAATTAGATAGACATCGTGAGGTATTTATTTTCGGCACAGTTTATGTTGAAACCGTTAGAGAGAGTGGCACACTTGTTAGCCTGTTCCATTCTTCTTTGTTTTCCGAAGCCGTGGCTTGGAAGTATACTTGCTTCGTTTCTGAAGGAAGTGACTTGGAAGTATGCGACTACCAAGCCAGTATCCTCGCGATTGAGATTGTCTTCGCAAATACACTTTAGCAAGGTAGATACTTACTTTTGGCCTCTCATGAGATTGAGCATTGTTGAACAGCCTGCTTGATTGCATATAGCTCAGGGATAGCAATATGAGCAAAGTATCATGCAATCTGCTTCATATTTTTATGTCCATGTTGAAAAGTGCCCTTTAGCTCATTTGCAATGAATAATCTTCAATCATCATTGATTGAATTATTTTTTTTATAACTAAACTATCATTTTGTAAACTGCCCTGATTAGCTCTTAAGGCAAACATGTGCTAAAAAGACTGACACCACTGTTGTGTCTGTGCTTTATCTTTAGGAGGCTGTGGCTCAGTGGGTAGTGCACTGAACTTCGAATCAGGGGGTAGCAAGTTCGAGTCCCACTGAAGTCAGCATGTCGTTGTGTCCCTGGGCAAGACACTTCACCTCAAATTGCTCCGGTGGGGATTGTCCACAGTACCGAGTATGTAAGTCGCTTTGGATAAAAGCGACTAACAAATGACATGTAATGTAATTTATGTAATCTATAAGCAAAATCAAAGGGTTAGCTTAGTTTAGCAGCTTATTGGAAGCATAGCCATTTGTCTGTAATGCTATGCTAAGCTAGTCAACACACATACAGTATATTGGTACATACTCAGTTTGTACAATCTTGTACAAAGATAGGGATATCGATCTCATGAAACTGAGCAAAAAAGCCAATAAACCTATTTCACATAAACTTAGAAGATAGAATTCAAAACCGAAATCTAACAATTATATCAAAAGCAATAGCAGATCTAGCATGAATACAAAAATATCTACTGAATCATAATCTAGGCAAAGTAATTCCAGCTGTTTTCATTCACACATCAATGCATCTTGATTACTGAATAAACTGCTCTGTATTCATCATGCTGCTACAGTAGGAGTTGAGCTTGTGCATTGTGACAACCACCTCGATACGCTGGGAGTTGACCTTCTTGCCCTTCTTGTTCCAGTAGACAACAGGCTTGGGACTGCCACTGGCCTGGCACACAAATGATGCCACACCCCCTGACACGCCGATCTGGTCTGTGGGCATCTTGGTGAACTTTGGGGAAGCTGAAAGTCGGAGAGAGGGAGGGAGAGGAGAAGGGAGAGAAAAACAAGCATGAAAATTGATACCTTTACCCTTACATCAAAGTGACTCCACAGCTGGCAACAACCCCCTGCTGACCACACCCCAATTCACTGCCAGTGGCCAGTCAGGCTGACTTGTGCTCTTATGGCTGCGTGTTGTGCTTACTTCCTGGGTATCATCTAGAGGACATGTTGAAGGACTTCCTGTGGGTCATAAATAAAAGATGGGGTTGGGCTTCAGAGGAACATCTCTCTCTCCCTCCCTCCCTCCCTATCTCTCTCATTGCCTCTCGCTCTGCTCCAGGGTGGGCTACCCTCGCACTGCATGCAGCAGGCTGTCATGACACATGAGTGTTTCACAGGTAGGCGAAGTGTTGGCTGCAGATTTACAGCATATAATTGGTTTTAATGTATTAATATCAGAGGTGTCATTTTGTGCCTGCAGTCTAAGACATACATCTAAACTTCAGATTCTGATGATTTTAGGAAATACAATGTATTCACCAAAATTAGTTTAGTTCATTAATTTCCAGCTTTGCTCTAGAGAGAGGGATGATAGGAGAACTATTTTATCTGTTATGATAAATCTGGTGTGGGTTGAATAATCGCAGCAGTTGCCTTCTGTAAGAAAACAGCAGTTTCCGAGTCAGATATTGAGCCAACAGTACTGAACCTATATTTTTCACAGTGGCTGAGTCAGATAAATCAAACAACTTCATGCACCCACCCTTGCTATCCATCTGTGGCCTGTTGCCATGGTGCCCAGCTTAACTCCTCCTCAGCTACAGATTCACCACTATCCATCAGGGTGAAGTCAGGATGACCCTTACCATAGCAACCTGGGTCCCTCCTCCCACTCCCCCAGTGTCTGGGTGGTTGAGGTCCTAGTGTGTTGATTCACTTCTACTCTGAAGACAGAACAGGAACAAAAACCCGCTATCAAGCAATCGCTAGCAGATTCAAAAGCCTTTTTGCACGATGTTTCCGCCCCTGCTCACTTTAGTGGCTAACCGGCACGCAGACTACCTTATAGTTTCCCTGCAATGGCTTAACAGTAACTGGAATAACACTGGGCCAACGCTTTTCCTGCGCCTGCTACAATGTGCTGTGCCTCTAAAGACCTACTCTGAATGTCAGCAATAAAGTGGTTTCATTATATGCTTACCATAATCCTCAACAGGAAGCTGGTAACATATAGTCAATCAGAACAAATGTATGCCCAACATTTTAGAACTCAAGAGGGGGATATTTCCTGCCTATAAGACTCTTAGAAAGGCTAACAGGGTATTGAGAATTGCCTTTTCCCCCTGCCAACAATGTGAGAATGTTAACTATCAACAGCCTAAAGGAAATGTCATGGCTGAAATCGGTCTTTTCCTGGCTATAGGATTACGAATGAATTTAGTGTGCTTCTAACGGCTTCTACATGGGTTTCAGTGGCTTCGTGTCCAGAAATGTGTTCTCTTAAATGCGCATCAACACCAATCCTCATACAAACCTGACCCCACTGGAAATGTTACCACTTAAGCTTCTTCTAAAAGCCAGGAGGAAAGCACTGCAAGGCACCAGATCTGGATGGATTTGCTCCGAACTGAAACCTGTTATGATCGGCAGGTTCTAGAAAAATGTCTGGAAAGTGGGGGCCTAATGAAAAGCTCTGCCTCTTTAATAGTAGGTTTCACTCTGTTGAACTGGAACGGGCAGGTCTATCACTGGTCTGCCAATGAATCACCTTTGTAACCTGCAATCATCTGTCTGACGGACTGAATAACGCTGGGACAGGAAGGCATAGTGTAATATCGTAGTTAGGATGCCATTTGAACAAAAAAAGTCTTTGGTACAGGATTCCTTTGTCATTTTGGAAAAGTTATTTTAGGGATATTATTGTAACTCATGCTGAAATGTTGTATTAACTAATGCCTTTAAGAAGCAATACTGTTACCACAGCTGTGGTCTGACAAGCCTTTAAGCTGCTTTGAATAATGCATCCCTTCCTGTTTTTGTGTCTTAGCTGTCAAATCTGCTTGCATCTTACAGCCAAATGTGTCCAACAAAATAAATGCTGTGATTCAAAGATGATGAGGACAGTTGGAGGATGCTGTGTCGTTGAAGGATGGAAATTTGAACACATACGACAAACAATTGAAAGGAACTATTCCTAGCTTCATTTGCATGGTTCTAACATTGTTTGTGTTGAAAAGTTAAAGTAATAGATCATTTTAATGAGGGAAATATTAGAAATGTTTTGCATAAATGTCCCACACTTAAAGGATCATGTCTGAAAGGAATTAATTCATTTTCTAAAAAGGTGGAAGAGATTTGATTTTAGTCGTTTGATTTAGAGAGACAAGAACATCTCACAATTGAGGACTCTAAGCTCTTATTCTGTAAACAAATATTCACAAAAGGGTAAAGTTGCAAGAAGAAATAGCAACATTGAGCATGAGCAAAGCATTTTTTTTGTTGAGGGAATTATATATTTCTGCACTTTAATTTGCAAGCTCTGCAGGAAAAAATGTTGTTAATGGAAGAATTTTTTTTGGATTGTTTTCTTTTATTGAGTACACTAGGGAGATATGGGAGATGGAGCTTTTAACAGCACTATCTATTCTGCAGGGATAAACATAGGTAGTCTAAAAGCAGAGATAGTCAATACTACAACCTTTTAAGTTATTTGTTGTGTTATTCTACCTCTCCACTGAATATTAAAATGTTTCAAAGGATCATGGCCTCAAATTGCTTATATGGATAGAAAATGAAAAATAGATTAGACAGTCCCCATTTCTAACTGTGTGAAGTGCTATCTCCATCTTTAGCCTGTATCCTCTGTCCATGGTTATATTATTTTCAGAGCAGTGATGGCGTGTCTGTCTGTCTGTCTGTCTGTCTGTCTGTCTGTCTGTCTGTCTGTCTGTCTGTCTGTCTGTCTGTCTGTGTGTGTGTGTGTGTGTGTGTGTGTGTGTGTGTGTGTGTGTGTGTGTGTGTGTGTGTGTGTGTGTGTGTGTGTGTGTGTGTGTGTGTGTGTGTGTGTGGACTACTGAGGCAGGACATTTGTGGAAATGTTTTAATCAAGGAGATGATGAGAAACATGCTGATGGGACCTCCCGGCTTATCAAAACATATTAACAACGGCATAGTCCAGAGCTGATTGCATACCTTTATACCTCACATATACTGCTTTAAAATATGCAGCACTACTTGAGAAAAAGAGACAACAAATTATCTTACTATCTAACTAATTTGATAATCAATTGAGAAATCATTAAATAAAAATGCTTTCTGCAGAAATAGAAAATACTGTTTTCAGCGTCTCAATATGAAGATTTCCGGACCTTCTCTGTTTTTATTTTTGCGAGGGAGTAGGGGTGCTCAATTAATCGTATTTAATCGCAATTGCGATTATGGCTTGCAACGATTACGAAAACAACGCAATCGAAACAAAACGATGATTTTTTTATTATTATTAATTTTTATTTTTTCAAATTAATTTTTATTTTTATTGTTTTTTCAGTTGAATTATACAGGGTAATCAACTGTTAAAAACATACTGTTCACATGTTTTTTCTCCGATAAATTGAAGTTTTCAAAGTAAATGGATAATCGTTTTTAATAATCATGATATCAATTATTGACCCAAATAATCGAGATTATGATTTTTGCCATAATCGAGGAGCCCTAGGAGGGACATTTAAAAAAAAAGATGTTAACAGACTAAACAAGAAAAGTTATCTGGAGATTAATGTATAATGGAAAAAATCAATAGAATATTTAAAAATAACATGGATGGTTGGATAGACAGTCATACCTGGTGCTCCACACACACTGCTCAAAGGGCCAGTTAGCAGGATAATGAAAGGCAGCAGCAGACCCAGGGGAGAGGGGCTAGAGCGGAGCCCCAGGATAGGCCTCCTGCATCGGGCAAGAGCTCCACCTGTCCTGGACAGAGGCATGGCTCCACCGTGGGTTGGTTGGAGATGACGTAGATATGGGTAGGGCTTCACTCAACAAGGGTAGGCACTCTGCTGAAACAGAAAAAAAACATGAAGGTCAGCTGAAATGAATGAAAGGCATCTCTTCCACCTCTGATTCATCGTACTGCTTTTAGAGCGACATCTGAAATGTCAGTGCACCTAGAGGAAAAGGAAACACATACAATATTTCATACAGATATAGAGAAAGCATCCTCATGAAGAAAATTAAAGACAAATTCATGCTAATGCAGGATTAGGTCTTTCGATTTAGCCAGAGCACTTCTGATTTGGGATTAACAGCTCAAGCAGGCCAGCCCTGACTGAACTAATACCAGAACAATAGAGCCACTGCTCAACAACTAAGAACAAGGAGAAGACTGAAATAGTTTTCGCCGTACTGCTTCTGTATTAATAAGTCTCCTTTTCTAGTGAGCCGTGAAATGAGCAGAAATGATACCGTTTTAAGAGTTGTTTTTTTCTCCCTGAGACAACCCAATAATTTAATTTAACTTCAGCTTCTTAGCATTCAGTATTTCACTGCGCTGGTGGCACGTAGAAGTGTTAATGCAATAATACATCCGGACTGTTCTGCCGTAATGGAAAACACTTAAACAAAGAGGATTGAGGGGTCAGTAGCAATGCAGCAGAATTCAATCACACCAAATGTATCAGAAACTGCTGCTTTATTGGATATTGCCCCTCTTGTTAATCCTGAGCCTTCTGAGAGATCTCCGTCAGTGTCCTCTCTCTTTCCTCTCATAAAGACACTCACACGAGGAGGCACGCATCTGGAAGTCTGAACATAATTCCGCTCTGTCTGCTTACAGAGACTTAGACAAGCTGTGTAGAAGCTCCCTGTCTGAGAGTCAATAAGTTCACAGTCCTATCGAGCTCTCCCGACCCCCGCCCCCTCGCCCGATGTGTCAGAACCCAGGTGGGGAGGCCAAATGAGAAAGGAGCCTTTGTTAACCTGTCATATATCACATAAATACATGTCTCCCTTAAGTACCAGCGCAAGATAACATATATGCTCTAGGGGAGAAATAAAATGCATTCACAGGTGACAGGCCACATTGTGAAATGCACATAAAAATGTGCAAGCACCCATGAGCGCGCCTTCAGCCTGACACCTCCGATGCATGGGCAGAAATGGAGAAACAGGGATGGGGCCGACCTTGATTCGCCTTTACTAAATCAAAGGGGCATTTCTGGTGAGTTCCATATTCAAAGACTCCTCCAAACACTTATTGGGCTAATGACCTGCTCAGACACATTACTATCTGCCAGCTCCTACACTAAGAATAGCTCATTTGAAAACATGGCCGCCTATCTGATGAGGGCTCATTTTCGCACCGCTTTGCCCTCTTCTTATCAAGCTCTGCGTAATAGAGGTTGAATAGAAAAGCTTTCAGCGTCCCCTTTTCAATTGAACAATGTGATAAGAAAAATCAGATCAGGGCTCATTCAAGCACTATTGGCAGCATGTTAAGTAAATTCTCCTCTTACGGAAACTCAATTTGCCACCGTTAATCTAACTAGGAGGACTGCTCTGCGTGGAGCCACATGGTCTCTGAGACATTAGGTACAGCTCCTAGGCTGCAGTGTGTGCTTCCTCTGTCCTGTGTTGTGGATTAGCCGGGGCCTTTAGATTTCTATGTGACCTCAGTCTAACCATATCTCTCATTCTCACTTTATCCCCCCCACCCTCCCTGTTGTCTCTCACCTGCTGACAAAGCCCTCATTGCTCTACCTCCACTAAAGTCGCCCACTAATCCTTAATCTTACCCACGTCTCACTCCTGCATTAGTCGTCATATTCCTGAAATCTCCTCTTCTCCCGTCCCACCTCATCTCATCCTCTCATCCCCTCTCCGTCTCGCCCCCCCCCGTTAACCTCTTCTCTCTCATATGCCATCTCCTCCACTGCCCCCTCATTCATCTGCTTCTCTTCCGATACACTCTCTAACCCCTGCTTGTTTCAGAATCCTCTTCCTCTCCCCCCAGCTGACCTGCTCCAGCTGTTGTTGGTCCATTGACACAGTTCAAACAAAAGGGTTTAGAGAGCATCCTGCAGCTGTGGATGTTCAGAGAGCGAGCCAAGACAGAGACACAGACGGTCTGGGCACGTCTGCGCTTTGTGCTAATGGCGTTTATCTCTTTCCAACCACGCTCCTTCTCTCTGGACGAGAAGATAGAGAGCAGCCAATGCACTTTGCTTGTCACAGGAGCAGAATTAAAAAGGTGTAAGCATCCTGTGAGAATATTCTTATGACTCACGCCTACCTACAGCCCCCTCACAGTTATGACAACCTGCTCTCCACCATCATCTGGCTCAGCATCCACAGAGAAGGCAGCAGGAGTTTGTCTTATTACCTTTGCAGCATGACAACACAGATGGTCAGCCAGACAGATAGATTGATGGGGGATACATGTGCTATTTATTACGGGGAGGCTGATAATGACACCATAGCTCAGGTGGTGAAATGTACACCGGTTATTGTGCTCCATCACGCTGATGAAATAACATTGTTTGTTTAGGTGGCATCCAACCTGCCCCTGCTCCACTGGGAAGATGACATGTTTTGTTTTTCTCACCTCACCACACCCCACCCCCCCCCCTCCTCCTTTACCCATGATGCTTTACACCACAAGTGGGTTGAGATGGTCTCACAAGGCCTGTCTCCATGACAACGAGCTACGATAGAAAAGACCAGATCTGTTTCCTGCGGCACCATGCTAGCAGTGAGATAGTACACCTGATAGGAAGCTTGTGTTCTTTTTATTTCTTTAAGCTTTAATACTGATCCAGTGCTGAGAGCCTATGTGTGTTGTGATGCTTGAGGGACCCAGCTCAGCAAAAAAACAAAACATCAGAAAACTTTTTTTATTTATATTTTAAGGGAACACGATGGAAAGGGGAAAATAAATATCTGTGCAGTGCAGTGCACCAAAGGGTTTGAAAAATAACATAACATTCATGGTCATTTGTTCTCTATCAAACTTTTGGAAATGATTCTGAACCCATAACATAGACTTATATATATCATTCAGAGTAAAATAACCTCGTCTTGAATTATGCATGGCTTTTTAAGCCATGGACAGGAAGAAGTTTGGAGCAGTAACCGTATATTATTCAAGGAGGGACTAGGACTGACATTACCTCACGTTAGTTAGGATCCTGGAGGTACACAACACTCACGAAATGTGGACACACACACACACACGGCAGATGGCAAAGCATCATGGGGAGATTGGCACTCGCTCTCACACTTCCCTTCTCACTCTCTTAAACACACAGCCCACAGACACACACATTTACAGACAGACACACACACACACACACACACACACACACACACACACACACACACACACACACACACACACACACACACACACACACACACACACACACACACACACACACACACACACACACACACACACACACACACACAATGAAGCAAGGCTTACTGCAGGCATGAGCTGCACCGCCCTGGTTACATTTTTAGCAGTGAAAATAAACTATCTAAGGCTCGGCTCTAACAAGAAAACACACCTGTCACTCAAATAGTGCGATTCTTTGCCCTGAATATAAATGACTCTGCAGGCTCGGTGCTTCGACTAAATCTCCATCAGTCTTAATGCAGCAGGATGCTTAAATTAGGACTAAAGTCGCTAAATATCCAAACCGATACAAACAATGTTATCATGGGAAGTAATGACACTATCAACAACCCCAAGCGGAGGCAACTATTTTCATCACTGGTCTGAAACTATAAATAGGGGGACGCTGGAGTTTCAATCACATATGACTCATGCAAATTGCAATCTCACACCGACCTGTGGGTACGGAAGGAAAGCCTTTTTATGTCATTACGTCTTTAATTACTAAACTAAATCATAAAGGAAATTACTAATTGAACAGATACATCCTTATCTTACTTTCTTCTTCATTTATATCTTACGCTTCATTTATAACATATATTATTATAATAAAGAATCATTGTTGGTAATCTGAATTCCTTCTATTGGCCTCCTGGTTCTGGTATAAGGTATAATTATTGAGTCTTTTTTGTTTATAATGTTTTGTTGCATTTAAACGTTTTTTTTTTTAAATTCATGTTGTGAGGATGTTACTTTTCCACACTTTCCATTTCCTTTTTTGATGAGAATGTAGGTATTCAGGTATTGTGGAGCGTGCACTCCTCTGTATGAGGGCTTTCAAATCTCTCTTTATAGTCCCCTGTGTCTCTAGTCTGGGACGTTCCCTTTTAATCTTTATTATGTGATCATCAGAAAAACCAGCATGATGTTCCTATTATCATGAAATAATGATATCCGAATCACAAAAATAGCTTTCTTGCGATCAGGAGAAAACGGAATGTAAAAATGTTATCCGCCCACGTCCTCTCTGGCTCTCTCTGGCAGGGAGTGTGAGCTTTTCTTGAGGCCACATTTTAATTACCTAAACACCTGCAGCTACCAGGGTATAACACATGTTCAGTAAACATTTAAATACATTGAAATGCCTAACTTCTGCTGATGCAAGAGATTTTCTAAACTATATACTTTGATCTGGCAATCCCACTGCACATCAGCACCTCAGTAGAATGACACCAGCGTGACAAATAGCACATTACTAAGTAAAACTTTCTTTACAGTTTTGTTTATCACAACTCAAAACAACACTTTGATTCGTGATTAAGGAACAAATGAATTTTTGGAGAAAGAAGCACGACTCAAACCTTCTCCCTTGTCATAATTTGCCAAAAAAACAAGTTTCTATTTGACCTCAATCTCTGCATGTCTAGGACATAGCAAAGCTGCTGCAGCCCAACAATAGTGCGGCAAACATACACCCCCGCATCTTAAAGGCACACCAAGGTCAAACAAACCAACACATCTAGAAAGAGGCATCCAGTAATGGGTGCATTGGCTTCGGATGAGCACAGCAACAGATGGACTGGCTCCTACAAAGCAGGAAATTTATTACAAAATAAAAGTACATATATGGCAGATTATCAGAGGGGATCAGCACAGAAGCAA